ATTCGAGTGATTCACTGGCCGCGACGCGACCGCAGACGCTAGCGAGTCGCGCGATTCACAAAGTCTGACATCGGCCTAATCTTGCTATAAATATCGCTGGCCAGCACCAGCACTGAAAAGTGATTTCTCTCAGCTAGTTTATGCTATTCGTATAGTTTAGCTTGACAAATTCCGTGTCCGACTATGCAAAAGTGGAGATCTGCCAATCTTGATGGACTATCATGGAATCCGCCAAGCAGAGGTCGTGGTGATAGACTTGCCGCCGGGAAAAACGGTACGATTCTACTTCAGATCAACTAGAATACTTGTATTGAACTGCTGATACTTCTTAGAGCACAGTGTTCTTTTCGTTTTCTTCAGGAAGACGTGAAGCCGGAGAGTCCGCGTGACATGAAAGCGGGGTGGAGAGTGCAATGGAGACAGATACTGGCGCCGGTGACGGGCCGCTTGTTTTCGACTTTCTTTCTCTATCCAAACTTGAACAGCGATGCGGAACGGACGGCGGAAGTGAGTGTTCTTCTTCTTAGTAAAGCGCCTCGTATTTTCATCCTCCTTATGAATAGGATTTGCCGCAACTCGTCCCATCGTGTCGACAAACTATTTCGACTGCAATCCACTTGATGCGGCAACGGCATTCGGGCTTCGCAACAGGTACTGTTGATTCATTGAAATGCTTGACTCATGGCTTTTCGGTCATTTGCGACTTTTTTTATTGTAGTAGTAGCTCTACGGTTTCCTCGTTTTATGGTTGCTTCTCTAAAACCTATAATACTTCAGGAAAGATCCATTACGCGTTTTGACAAAAGTGATAGTCCTCTACCAGTATGACTGGAACTATTTAATTCAATACTCTTTTCAGTTAATCCTTCTCCATTATTCAGACTGATGCGCAAAGATTTTTCTTCTGGGCTGGATGAGCACCTTGCGGCTATGCCTGTTTGGATAATTGCAAACGCAAAGGACCAACTAGGGACGACCTTTGTAGGCTGTCAACGCTCCAACACCAAAATCTCCACATTCCACACTAGGTGTTTGGGTACGCGTGTATCTCCTTCATTCTATTTGTGCCTATGGAATTGCGAGAAAGAAAATATCGATTGATATGTTTCAGGTCGTTTTGGAGAAAGCTGTGAAAATACCATAAAGATGCTTGGTAATCGTTTCAAGCATGGTCTTGAAGCAAAAAGCAAGGCGGTCGCGTTATACAGTGTGGGATAACTGGAAAGGGAGAGTGTTTTATCAGGACTGAATTATCCATTTTCAGATCCTGGGAAGCAGTGTTTCTTCGACGTGGGGAGCTAGAAGATGTCTCTCAAACATGACTCTGACGTTCAAGTGGGATGCAAAAGTATGGTACTTCCTCTAGTAGGGCGGTGTTATATGGCTAATAGGTTTGCAAAGGTGTGGAAATGTAGACCGAGAATTACCTGTGTGCACCACCACCGTCGGCATCAGCAATGTTCCACTTTTCGCCCGGATGGAAGGATAAACGGGTGGCTTTGTTGGAAGCTACAGAGCAACTTGAGTACTTGTTGGTGAGTGAAGTACATGAAATGCTTCTGTCGTTTCAACTATTCTTTTGTTTTTTTTCGGTTTTGCGATACAGATATGTTTTCCTTTCTTCAGATTTGATTTTTCTTTTTTTTTTTGATTTTCATGTTCTCTCATACTTAATACCTTGTGTGTGTTCCATTCCTATTACGCAGCTTTTATTGATAGTTAAGGGCCTATTTACGCAGCTTCTTATGGATATTTAAGTTGATGGCAAACGTTTTGGATTCTGGCTCCACAATGGTTTGGCCTTCGAGGCCTGAAGGTACCTCTGATGATTTGCTTGCTGAAGTGAAGCAGCTTATTGCGCAATACAGGGTACAGAACAATGACGCGGAGCGAACCCTCCATGGGACTAGGTAATTTCTACTTCTAAAACTGTTCCGCCCCTGCACAGCTGTTTCTTTTTTGCAGGCATGTCGACTTCACTGAACTTTTGTGGGATATATTGAAAAAGTGCCCAGATTACAAAACTCTTGTGTCTGCTCTACACATCGTCTTCGATGCTTTGAAACAATGCCGCATTAATGCAATTGTGCGTGGTCTTATTGGAGTTCATTTTCATCTACTATTGTACCTTCCATGTCGTAAGCTGCTTTTTCTTTGCAGTTACACGAGGACAATAAATCATCAATAGCACGATTGATACGCGATGCACAATCCCAAGATCTCATGCTTCCTCGTCTGGAAGCGCTTACTCCTATCCAAATTTTACTCGAAATAGGATATGAACGTTTCAGAAGGTTAGTTCAAGTTTACACCTTGACTTTGTTATAATGCATTGAGGAGCTACCGAAGTTTTTTCTCAACGCGTAGGCTCACTTTCGATAATCTGGAAATATGCTTTTCTTATGCCTTATTGGTAGGTCGTTATCCTCCACAGGCAACAAAAAGAATGCGGTAGCGCTCATTTGTGTCTTTTTCGTTAGATGGAATGGTTGGTAACCTATGTGAGAGTGCTGTTTGGCAAGGGTCTTACATAGTCATAGCTACTCTTCCCAGAAATCTGACCGCCATTGAAGTAACTGAAGGTTCAGTAGCTGCTCCAGGCTGGGCCTTACTTCTTCAATCGACTCAGTGGTTGACAGTTCTCAGAAAGAGAGTAGCCATGGCAGTGAACAAGGAGCTCGCTTTTTCTTGTGGGAAGACATCTCAATAATATTTTACCATAGGATTTCCTTCAAGAGCCTCATCCCGTGCTACGAAAAGGTTGTCAATGGAGCGATGGGTAAAATATTTGCTCTCATCCACCCCATCTCACCCTCCCCCTTCCCCCTGAATATTCCTGTGACTGCAGCTAGCTTTACTCGTGTGCAAACCGAAGCGTTTGTCAGGGTAACTTCAATAGAGGCACTTGCGTTTCACCGATTCAAGATGAAGTAATGATATGAACGGATGGTTTTATCTCGAGAAGGCGGTAGAAAACAGGCTTGAATTTTCAGTTTTTCATTTTTTTGTTCAGTTTAACTTCACAATTTTCACCTTGAAGTGAACCTCCAGTCTTCATGGTTGTATTATATCTTCCATGTAGGCAAATCAATCATGAAGTTGCTGTGAGCAAATCGAGTAGTTGGCAAAAGCTTAGCTTCCTCAGTTTGTTGGAAATAATCATTTATTTAGGGACATGGTGCAAGCATATGTCACAGCGGGCTTCGTTACGAATGACACTGATATTGACTTGAAGCCACAACAGAATGCTTCACTTGAAGAACGGACACGTGCTCTTCTTCCTCTCCATCTAGCTTTGCAGACGATGCTTGAAATGACGCGTTATCTCGCACTTCCTGGTCACACTTTAAATGCCCTGACAAGGTTTGATCTTCGGTGGCTGAAGAAGAATTTTATGAAAACTTCGCACATTGAGACTGCTTTAATTATGTCAAATTTTATGTCTTATTTAATTATGTCAAAATTAATTAATTACTTTAATTACGTTCGGTCTACGAAAGTATTTTAAATCCATTTCTCATAAAGAAGTATTTTTTAGATTCAGAAGTACTGGGTTTCTTTTGAAGACTT